CTAACAAGGAAGCAGAAGCTTGAAGGCACACCACTAGGAGTAGTGGGGGTGGGACTCAAACTCAAGGCTGCTTCTGGAGCCTGTGCTCATTTCAGTAAACAATGCTACCTCTCTGCAAATCAAGAGGTCCCTGCTTCACATCTGAGTAACATCTCAGAAAAACAAAACAACAAACAAAAAACAATCTTCCTGTGTCCAAGTGGAATAGAAAACCATACATCCACTATGAAGCCGGAACTTAAGGCAGGCTTGAACCTTCAACCTCTTCCCCCAGGATGGCAGGTGAGAGGCCAACAGATTCAGGAGTTAGAAAGCAAGAAGCTGGTTACCCGGGAACCAGAGGCAGGGCTCAGACAGAGTGCCTGGCCCATGATGGTTCACCATGCCTCACAGACCAGCAGAGGCCTGCAGGCAGCTGCTCCCCAGCTCCATGGTGCCATGAAAAACTTTGGTGATGCCTTGGGCATTCATTTGTGTTACCTGGGAACAATTCTGTGCCCAGTTAAAAAAAAAAAAAAAAAAACATGGGTTCCTATAAAAGGGTGGCATCTATGAGCCAGGAATTGACAGGATTCCTTTTTTTTTTTTTTTTTTTGCCAGCCTTACAGAGAGATCTTTGAGTTCTTCATAGAGGATTTCAAAACATATAAACCATTACTATCCTCCATCAAGAATGCATATGAGCTGATGCTGGGTAAGAACACAGCCCTTCTCATGAGCCCAGCCTACAATGGATGCAGAGAATTCTATTCTTTCTGAGGCTCCACAGCAGGGTTGGGGCAACTACTAATTGGGATTTGAGGTCACTTTTGCATGTACTGTTCTGTGATAGGGCTCCCCAGAGGACATCACCTCCTCCTGTCCTTGAGAGGGAACCCCAGAAGAGTGAGCACCTCTGGGAAGTGAGGTGGTCCTTTTTCAGACTCAAAAGGTATAAAGCAGATTGTGGCTTTAGGACTAAAGATGCAGGGCTAAGTGTGTAGTAGCAACCCTAATCCTCATTTGGACTCTGCCCTTGCTTTTAAAGCAAGTGTGAGAAGGTCTGAACTAGGAACCATGGCATTTAACAGGCAAGTATAGACTCTTGGTGTTTGCAAGTGATAGCCACTTACCCATGACCTTAGGATCTGTCTCCTGGCTGCTCTTCATGGCTCCAAAAGGATTCTTCCATCCATCCCTGCTTAGCCCACCAAAGGGAGAAGATTCGTGCCCTGGAGCCACTGAAGGCCAAGCTTGTCACTCTGAACGAGGATTGCAATGAAAGAATCATGGCTATGAGGGCTGAGGAGAGGTATGAAATCTCCATGCTCAAGAAAGAGAAGATGAATTTGTTAAAACTCATTGACAAAAAGAATGAAGAGAAGATCTCATTGCAGACAGAGGTGAATGAAAATGATGTACTGACCAAGTCCCTGAATTCCTGCCCCCTCATGGTGACCTTATTATGCACAAGGCTACTCCTAACCCTATCCACCCTCCATCTACCTTTTTAACCCCTCCCCAGAGCCTCTATTACCTCTACCCTCTGACCTGCTGCAGGGCTCAAAACAGGTTTGGTGTGGCCCTGAGTGCCAGCAGACTTTCTTCACAGGAGGAAGCACTGGCATCTTGTTGGGTTCTTGGGAATGCTGCTTTCCTTCTTCAACCTTTCTTATTCCTAWGCTGAGGACCACCCAACACCCATCCCACCCCTGTATTGACTGGCTGCCTACAGGGATCCATAGAAAGCTCCTGACTACACAACCACTGTCCTAGCAGGTGTCCAAACTGAGGAAGAACTTGGCTGAGGAGTACCTGCACTACCTCAGTGAGCGAGATGCCCGCAAGATCCTCATTGGAGATCTGAATGAGCTTCGGTACCAGCGGGAGGACATGTCACTAGCCCAGTCCCCAGGTAACCTGAGTCAGGAGTCTCTCCCCTCTCAAAGGCTGGAGAAAAGTCTGGCTCTCATCACTCACCCCATTCATTCAAGATTTGTAATATCTACTCATTCTGTACCCATACATGTGGGACATGTCCCTTTTACTAACAAGGGTGTGAATCTTTTGAGTAGGACGAGAATCATGGGATCATTAAGTAGGAATACTCCTAGCAGCTGAGATAGCCAAGGCTCCCTGTGGACAAGACAGGCCTAGTAACACATGTGGTAGGTTTCACTACTTAAGCATGAACCCCTAGGCTGGTAGCCATGTGGATAAGACACGGGGGATTCAAGGCAGATAAGGCAGAAAAATCTTGGGTATGCTAAGGGATACTCAACCCAGGCCTGGGCTACAAACCCCAGAGTCAAGGTGACACAGGCTGATGGGTCCCCTGGCAGGCGTCTGGGGGGAGGACCCCGTAAAGCTAACCCTGGCTCTGAAGATGACCCGGCAAGATCTGACCCGCACACAGATGGAACTCAACACCATGAAGGCCAACTTTGGAGATGTGGTACCCAGGAGAGACTTTGAAATGCAGGAAAAGATTAACAAGGATCTTCAAGAGCAGGTGCTGGTGGGCAAGCAGGGCAGGAATGGTAGGGCAGGGTTAAGCAGGTGGGTGGCTAGGACCAATCACCTTACCCACAGCTGGACAGTCTGCGAGCTGATTATGAAGAGGTCTGCAAGGAGCATGATTCACTGCTACAGATGCACATGAGYACACTGAAGGAACGAGACCAGTTCTTTTCTGAGCTGCAGGAGATCCAGCGAACATCCACACCACGACCTAACTGGACCAAGTGTGAAGGTAATGATGACTTTCCTGGCCCCAGGGTCTGCTAAAAGACATGAACTGGACTCCAGGTCCTTCTCCCCTTCTGCAGATGTGGTGGCTGGAGGCCAAGAACGCTGGCATATGCTGGCAGCAGACAAGAACAGTGACCAGCTGGTTGATGTGCTATTGGAGGAGATTGGTGAAGGCCTGCTCCGGGAGAAAGACTCCTTTCCTGGTCTGGTAGGGCATTCCTAGCAGGAAGTTTGGGTCAAAGTCAGAATAGTCAGATTATGCTATTAAGGAGAGTTGAGCTTTAAAGGAGACCATCTGGGGCTCTTCCCTGCTTGGAGGTGGGGATATCAGGTAGCCCAGACATGAGCGGACACCATGCCTTCCAGGGTTATGGGGAAACCATCCCCACTTTCCTTCGGTTTGATGGCCCTGTGGAGAACAAGAAACCAAGCAAGAAGGAAGTGGTAAACATCCTTAAGGATGCCTGGAAGGAACGTCTGGCACAGGAACAGGTCAGCTCTCACCAGTCATGTTGGCCCAGTGTGGCCTTATATCAAGTCCTCTAGGGGGTCCCCTCATGGTGCTAGGGAATAGGGGTGGGTCAGCCAACCCTGGGACATGCTGACCAAGCATCTTCCCCACTCTGCAGAAAGAAAAGTTTCCAGATTTCTTCTTCAATTTCTTGGAGCGTCGCTTTGGGCCCAGTGATGCCATAGCCTGGGCTTATACCATTTTTGAGAATATCAAGCTCTTCCACACCAATGAAGTCATGAGTCAATTCTATGCAGTTCTAATGGGAAAGGTAAGCTTGGACCTGTTTCCCTACCTGGTTCCCTCAGGGAGACAGAGGGACCTTTGTCTTCAGCATAGCCCAGCACTGCCCCTATCACTCCACAAAGCAGCAAGTTAGTGAATAATTTCCTTTCTATAGAGGACAGAGAGTGTGTATATCAACCAGAAGGAAACAGTAGCCCAGCTGCAAAAAGAGATGACCAATGCTGACAGTCAGAAAGTGGGGCTACTAAGCATGGAGCAGTTCAGGTAAGAGGCCAATCCTGGCCACACCAAACTTCGGCACCTCTCCTCTGGCCAGGAATATAGGGAAAAAAGAAGCCTGGCAGGAACAGTCACAGCCTCAGAGATTGCTGTTCTTCTGTACACTAATGGGGATGGCAGAAAAGGGTGTGGGGAATTGGGTGGGCAGCCTCTGCCAGTCCTCTTGTTTGTCCTTTTGTTTCCCCATAGCAACATCCTTAAGAGCACTTTCCCCCTCAAGAAGGAAGAGCAAGTTCAGGAGCTGATGGAGGCAGGGGGCTGGCATCCCAACAGCAACAGTTCAGACTTGTTCAACTACCGCTCATTGTTTATGGAGGTAGGTAGGGAGTCTAAGAACTTGCTCAGCTCCTACCCTAGCCTTGACTGGCCCCCATTCAATGTGGCCTCACCCTGCCTGGTGGCCTCTTCCAGAATGAGGAGGGCCAGAGTGATCCCTTTGTGCAAAAGCTGTGGCAACAGTATGTGATTGAGAAGGATGAGTACTTACGTGAACTAAAGCAGGAGCTGGGCCTGGAACTGTGAGTGACCCTGGGGCCTATAGGTCCACTTGGCCATTGGTGATTCCCACACAAGTCAAGCTCCACAGGGTGGCATCTCAGGCCCCTGAGCGCATTGAGCTTTCTGCTGGGCACTATAAACTACTCAAGTCCAGCAGAAAGGAGAGCACCTTAAGAGTTTGGGCTACAAAGAAGAAGGCTCAAGCCTGTTTCTCTTCTTTTTTTGTGGGGCAGCCATAATGAGGTGACCCTATCCAAGATGCGTAGGGCCTTGATGAACATTGATCCCAGCCTGGACAAGCAGACTTTGAGCACCTACCTGAGCCAGGCATTTCAGCTCCCCATATCAGAACTTCCAGAGGAAGGCAACGAGGCGGAGGAGGGCACCAAGCTATGTCTCAGGCTTGTACTGGAACAGCTTCAGGTGGCTGATGTCAAGCGCATAGGGCCTCGAGACATAGAGCCTACAAGCTAGGACCATCATGGATTGGATGAGAGCTTCAGTGCTGCTAATACAATGTTTAGTACTAAACTGTTTGAACCCATACCGTTTTCGAGGCTATGTTGAGATGTTGGGTGGTAAGGGAAGGAGGATTTGGGAGGTTAGGATATGAACCAAAAAGCAGAATATTCTATTTGTCACAATTTATTGATGCTAGGGGACAGGGAGGAGAGCTGGAGGGCTATGTGGGGTTAAGAGGCCTCAGATCGGGAGACGGCATATTGAAGCCTGGCCACTACTGCACAGGGAAGACAGAATTCCCACTGAATGCACAGGGGATGAGCAGCTGCCGGTACTCCAGGGGTAGGTGTCGTTCCACAAGCACATACAATGAGACTTGGTCAGTGATCAGGCCCTGCCTACAGCAGAGGAAGAGAGGGTGTAGGGAATCAGTACCAGCACTCCCACACCCAGCCTTCCTCTTCTGCTCACTCACTGCACCCAGCCTTCCTCTTCTGCTCACTCACCGTCGCATCAACAGTTCCAGGTCTTCTGGCCTCACAGTCTTTCGGCCAGCATGAGCAGCAAATACCTCCAGGTCATTGCAAAGGTGCTGGAAATACTTGTTTAAGCTGCCAAGAAGTTTGGGTTACAGCAGACTGAACAGTCTGTTCATAATCTGAGAGGCCCCACTCTCCATCCAGGTGTCCAAGACTCACCATTTCTCCACCATTTCAAAAGCCTTCCTCTCCATGGGCATCTTAGCATAGAAGCTGAAGAGTTTTGCATAGTGGTTCAGTCCAGCCTTGTAGGAATCTTGACGGGGCCTGGAGCCAGCAGTTCGGGGTCTGGGGGTAAGCCGGGCTGACACAGGCTCCCTAGTCTCTGAAGACAAGCTGGGGGCAGGAATGGATAGAGATGGTTAAACTGCTTTACTTGAGAAGGTCCCTAATAAGGGCAAGTCCTACTGACTCATGATAAGACTGAGTCCATGTGCTCCTTAGCTTGGACCAGCAATCCCAACCATCTACTGAGAAGCAGTGGACTTGTGACCACACAGAAAGTTGGGTCCAGTGTTTCCCTGGACCCTGTTTGTCCAGTCTGGATACAATGTCCAAGTCTAGCCTCATCATATACAATGGTACTTGCTCAGGCCTGTGATCCCCTGGCCTCAGAATGAATATTTTCTCCCCTCAGGAGTCTTATCACTGCCTGTCCCAATTCTGCTAATCCTCCTCCAGGAAGCCCTGAGTACACACTGACCTAGGCACATCTACCTCACCCTAGCTCCCGTAAGCTCTTGGAGGTAGGCATCAGGATCAGATATGCCCTTGGGAAGTATCTCCTCATACTGGCTCAGGCTGCTGTGCTGGATAATCATCTGCATACCTGTGGAAAAGGGGATGACTGTGCGCAAGKTACCTAATGCTGACTTCAGTGCCTGGCCCTTTCCCAAGAGGCCCATGAGTAACAGGGTCATGGAATCTTACACTGCAACATCAGGCGGTGGGGCTGGCTCAAGAATTGAATGCAGTCGCTTGGCCTGAAAGAACCTGGGTGTGCTGGATGCCAATTGTGGACTTGCTGCAGAGAAAGGGTAGGGTCATAGGAAGCTCACATTTGACCCATCTCACCCAGTTATACAGGTCCAGTAAAGTCTTTTCCTGTTTCTCAAGAGCCTCAACTAGCTCCAGCTAAACAAGTATCCCTCAGAGTCTCCCTGGCTCCCTACCCAGAAACAATACAGGCAAGCCCCTTGTGTGTGCAGGGCCTGAACACAGCTGTTGCCATTTACCCACTGATCCACATACTAGGCTTCTTACCTGGCCTGTCAGAGGTGTTCTCATCCTCTGAAGATCCTTCTGGCTCCTCTGCCTCCATAGTCTCCTGGGATTCCTCTGCTTCCATTACTTCTGAAACAAAGCAGGCCATGGCTGTGGCTCCAAGAAGGGTAAAGGTGGAGCAGCAAGGCGAGCCCCACTCATTGAGGAAAGACCAAGTCAGAGGCAGCACCAGGGCACTAATGTGAAATCTTCTGGTCTAACACTGACACTGTTTTGGGTGGAGGAAGAACCTCCAGCCAGAATGCTTTGGGGAACACAGTGCTAGGGCTTGAGGAAGGAAAATCAACAGTGTTAACTTGCCCAAGCTAAGCTTGGCTCCAGGCCACCTGCCCTACATACTCACTGTGGTTCTGTAGCCCAGGTCCACTGCTCTGTGTCCTGTCCCCCGTAGTCCTCTCAGCATCTTCAGTACCAGTAGGAAAGGGGTTGGGCAGAGAGCGATGTACACTGGGGGAGCAGCCAACCAAGGGCTGTGAGAATGGCTGGGTGTCTTCCAGTACAGTGTCTGATGGCAGATTTGCAATAGGGGTTTTAAGGCTGTCACCTGAAGATCAAGAGCCAGCTGGCATTCAGTGTATTAAAGGCTAACCTGCCAGGGTCTGAGCAATTGGCCTCATGGGTGTGCCCTGCCTGAGTGGTCTCAGAGAGAGATGACCTACACCTTAAACTTCATCTCCCTTCCACTGCTTTCATTGCTTACCTTCCTGCCTTTGGTCCACAGCTTGCCCACCTGCAACTGTTTACCCTTACCTGTACTCTTCACTTTCCTTCGGCCCAGAAATTTTCCTACTCTGATAAATTTGACTTGTCTTAGGGAATCAGGCTCCCAGGTCAGCTCTAACTGGCTTGCTGATCATGAATCCACCTTTCATTCTTCCAATGAGTTTCAACCACCAGACCACACCCTTTTCCTACCCTACCCCTGTAGTTCAAGGATTTGAGATTCTGGAAGAAATGGAGACACTCAGACTGAGCTCCACCAAGGCCAGTGCCAATAACCATGGAAAGAAAGTAGAAACTCCTCATAGACCTATTAGCCAGGCTCAAATGCTATCTCTTTTTTTTTTTTTTTTTTAAAGAGAGAGTGAGAGAGGAGAGAGAGAGAGAGAGAATTTTTAATATTTATTTTTTAGGGCTGGGGATGTGGCTCAAGCGGTAGCG